ATGTCAGAAATAGATTCATTAGGTTTCATACAAAATAACTCATAGTCTTGCAACAAGATATTAAGTTTGAATAGTTTAACTTCATTAGTCCCTTCATATGTTATACAAAGTTTATCCCATATGTCATTTCCACTCTTGTAAGTGGAAACCCGTATGTAATCTTCTAACATAAGTACACAAAAGAAACTATTTAAACATTTAACATTTAGTTGTGCTAAGTCACGTTCTTCTACTGTCCAATCCGCAAATAGTGTTTCTACTCTAATGCCATCAACTAGTCTAATTGATTTTGTATACCTTTTTTGTACTAAAATCCACATGTGATAATCAAGTGACTGTAAAAATATAGACATGCGTGTTTTTCAAAAATCAAATGGGATATTATCAAACAAAGGAGGTCTTGTGATCGAATATCCTTCAGGTGTATTTCGATTTTTGAATGTAGCAATGGTCGTTAATCAAAAAGTAGTTTAAACTTTTGGTTTTGAAACAAAGCTCTCTTATATCACTTGTTGAAACTTGTTAATTATGAATTAAGTTGTTAGAACTAAGATTATGTTCCAAAAGACTAACCAAGAGGGGTGGTGAATTGGTAATTTAAAAAATTCTTCCTCTTTAAACCGATTAAAGTTTGAGTGAAATTTTTAAAACAAATTTTCAACCACATGTCAACACAAAAGCAGTAAAGTAAAAAAACAACATAAAATAAAAGTACACAAGATTTATAGTGGTTCGGTCAAACACGACCTACATCCACTCTCTGAAGTCTCCCATTTCAGGCATTGCACTATTACCATAAGTGTCTCTCATTTTGCCCCCACAGCAAGGCGGAGAAGCTTTCACAAAAACTCTCTTTCACCACTACCCGGTGCGGCAGAGAACCGTCGTCTTTTTACACCCTCCAAGTGTCGGCAGAGAACCGTTGGCTGTTCACACTCTCCAAGTGTAGGCAGAGAACCTTCGTCCTTTCATACTCTCCAGGTGTAGGCAGAGAACCCTTCAGCTGTTCACACTCATCGAGTGTCGGCAGAGAACCGGACTTCTTGAAAAATCTTCTCACAAGAAATCTAGAAGGACAAGAGAAAAGAGTGAAGTAATCACAATTCACAAATGGAGATCCTTACTTTTAAGAAATCAAGTGAACTCTTCACGCTCCAGTAGTAAGAACTCTCCTTCAAACACTCTCTCCTTCAATCTCCCTTTAGTATGCACGAAGACCAAAAGACAAAAAAAAAATTTAAGACAGCCAAAACAGGACCTTTTATAGAAAAGACACGAAAAACAGTCCAAAATTGCAATTTTCAATTTCTGACCGTCCACGTTATCCTGTACGATCCAATTTCGTACGTACGAATAGTGTAAAAACTGTTACGTATGAAACATATATGAATCAGTACGAACTACCTTCGTACCCGATAATCGTCCCGTACAAACTAATTCATCCGGTACGAATAGTTATTCCCAAAGTTCGTTGGTACGAAAATGCATGATGAATTTCAAGTCTCCAGAACAGAGAAGATCATCCTGGGATGAACCATAAGTATCATATGGATGAATAGTTCATTTTGGCCAATCCAGAGCCCATCGTCCTGGAACGAACTATATTTATCGTCTGGACGAACCCATCTAGAGAGCACCGTCCTAGGATGCAAAATAAATATCGTTCGAATGTACGCGTCCAGAGCCCATCATCTTGGGACGAACGAAAAATATCGTCTGGACGAATAGTTCATTTTGACGAATACAGAACCCTTCGTCTTGGGACGAACCCTAATGTTCGTCCGGACGAACGCATCTAGAGAGCATCGTCCTGAAACGAATGATAATTATCTTTTGAACGAACATGTCCAGAGCCCATCGTCCTGGGATGAACGAAAATATCGTCTGGACGAATAGTATTTAAAAAAGAATTTTGGCCCTCTCTGTTCATTCTTTCGCTCGTTTGAGAGTTTTAACTGACCAAATCGTCCCGTACGAACATGGTTCGTACTGTACGATCAATTTCAAAAATTATGAATTTTAACTCTCCCCCGGTGTATGTGTGATAAGTTACTTAATTACAATCACACACTCTCTCTCAGATTCAAATAAAGAAAAAATACATACTTCAATATTACAACACATTCTAAGCAAATTTTGATTTGAAGTTTTTAACAATCTGGAGTATGATTTTCCTAAAAAGTTAGTACACAAAAGCAAAAACAATTCTTCTAAAATGTGTTAAGAGAAGATAATAATCAAAACAATAATATTTGGAATCATCAAAACATACAAGTTGCAAGAATGTAAATCATGCAAAGCTAAATAACAACTCTCTCAACAATTTTTGCCTCATCTAAATTATAATATAATTCGACATAGCTCGTAGGAGATATTTGTTCAATAAACTTATAAACACTAAAAGATCATGCTCTTGCTTGAAAGTGAGCTGCAGTGTTCGCTACGAATCTCCTATTGTCGCCTATAGGCTAGTTGTGTGTAGTACGAATTTACTCTCCTACTCATAGATGAATTGTAGCAAGCTTTACAAGTTTGTTAATATTGTTTGTAAGCAAACAAATTCATTACAAATCATTTGTTGTTGCTTGTAGGCGAGTTGCATTAAGTATAAATCCTCTAATATTGTTTGTAAGCGAGTAGATATGCGCATTAAGAGTCCTAATTTACCCTCGTAAGCAAGTTGCCTCATTTGAGCCTTTTATTAACACCCGTAGGTGAGTTGTCGTTTACATTATAGGTCCTCTGCTTGTTCCTTTTTATTCGTTCAAAGCAACAAAATTATACTTTAGAGTTTGTATTTTCATCCACATTGTGTATTTAGGTTTTATTTTATTTTTTTCAAATTGTTACATGTTAAGTTAATAAGTTGTTCTTACAAGTCCACCGTTCACCGAAAAACTCAGCAAACTACCGACATCTCCCTAGTTTAGGAGAAATTTTGGGAGTCTAGGCCTACCCACCACACTAATAAAGGCGTGCATTGTTAGGATATATCAAATGGCAATGCGGTTGTGGTCTTCAATCTTACATGCCAAAAAAGGCGTGCATAGATCTTTAAGTACCTGCATAGAAGCTTGCAAATTTTCCCGCCAGCATGAAGCATGAAAGAGTGCACAAGTACTTAATTTTATCCCGTTGTGCTAAGAAAAATACGCACAAGGCTTACCCGATCGTAGCAAACATCACATCAAGCTTCCTCCCACCGGCTAAGAAAAGCGTGCATAGGAGGTCTACTCGTTGCACCGCAAGCATTGACAACAGGAATTGAGATTTAGAGTTTAGCAAGTATTATACCTTTGCACAAGAGACGGTGACAGTGGAATCTAGAGCACGAGGAATCAAAACACAAAAATACTCTTTTTTCTTTTCGTTTTTTTTTTTTGGAAATCTGCTCTCTTCTCTCTTTTTTTTCTTTTTTGATTTTGCTTTTCTTTTCTTTTTTTATACTAATAATAATAGTAATAATAACAACAATAATAACAATAATAGAAAGAGGGAGATTATGCAAGAGTGAGAAAATGAATTCTCTATTAGGGAGAGAGTGGCCAGCAGTTTGGAATGTTGTAGATGTAAACGGTTGTTTGGTATGAGGAGGTTTTCTCACATCTATTTGGGATGCCAAGCTTATGCATTTAAACCCACAAATTACGGGAGACACCAGCAAAACGAGGAAGAAAGTAAGTAGTTGTTTGCACCATTCAATTTGGGCATGCAGGAGCATTAGCATCAAAGAGTAAAAGTGTCAAACTATGATGGGAGAACAATAATCAAAACCATCCACTTGGTTATAGACATGAAAAAATGATCTTCAATATACACAATCATATTTTCATGCTTAAAATTTTATGATTTGCGATATTTTTAGTATTGTCAAGATGGAATTACTACACGACCTTGGTTGACGCACCAAAGAGATTGCTGGAACTTTACAATAACAAGTTGGATATGCAATCAAAATCAAATGCATGGAAATCAATTAATCTAATTTTGGCATTAAAATTTGATGCAAGCATGAACAAAAGAGTATTAAATTGTGGAGCCTAATTTTTGGCTTAAGAACAAAAATGCACCTATGTTATTCAGTATTTGTAGGATATTTCATCAGGAAATTTAGTGAATTTTACCATATTTTAGCTCCTATAGATTTTACCTAAGAGATTGCTGGAACTTTACAATAAAAAGTTGGATTTGCTATAAAATCAAATGCACGAAAATTAATTAATCTAGTTTAGCATTGAAATTTGGTACAAGCATGAACAACAAAGTATTAAATTGTGGATCCTAATTTTTGCCCTAAGAACAAAAATGCACCTATGTTATCCAGTATTTGTAGGTCATTTCATCAGGACATTTTGTGGATTTTACTATATTTTAGCTGCTATAGATTTGTTTCTTTATAAATATGGGATCACCATTTTTATATAGTATAAGTGAAATTATGGTTGCAATTCCCACAATCAAACTATGGTGAAATCAATAGCGATGGTAGTAGCAATGTAACCATCATTTGGATGAACATGTCATAAAATTTTTTCTTTAATGATCTTCTTTTATGCTTTATATTCTTTTTTACTCCTAGTTTTTGAATTAGCTTTTGCCTACTTCGCAAGTTCTCTATGCTAAGATTTATTTTTTTATTTGTTCATATGAAAAGAAATGAATCGATTTTTGTTATTTGTTCCAAAGACAACCAGGGAAATGAAAAGGGTAATGCGGGCACTTAATGGCAGACCAAATACAATTTGTAAATTCTGATGTGTAACTTCCTGTGTAAGAAAAGGCAATGTAACAGCACCCCTCAGCCATGCCACGTCGTTCATAATTGAGTTTTGTGCATTTATGAAACTTCTATGACTTTAAATTAAGGGAATCTAGAAAATTATTGTTGAATCCAGTTTGTATCGGGAAGTTGGCTGAACATACAATGTTTTCTTCATGTAAGTACAAATATTTAACAGAAAAAAAAAAAAAGATTTTCTTGCCGATAGCATATAGGATACCTTTCTTTAAGAACGGAGACATTACTCGCCGGAAGCCACACCATACCGACTATCAGCAGGGTTGGCTTCCAACTTGCGACAAGAATTCTGATCTCCCAACCTCTTCCTCGCTCAAGGACCCAATTCTCACTGCTTCATTGCTCCAGTAGCCTCACCGGTCTGCCCGCACTCGCCGGACCGCCCTCTAAAGCCGGTGTGGGCTTCACATCGCCACAGTTGCTCTCCGCCGAGATTTGTCGGCACTTACTACTTATATATTCATCATTTATAAACAAAATAAATTTCCAATATAATTAAAAGATAAATTTAATGAAGATTATATTATATTAATTATTAAAATGGCATTAATTAAAAATAGAATATTTAAAAATAGAACTCGAATATTTAGATATATATAATATAATGTGAAATATATAATTAAATATTTGGGAAATTTACATACATACCACTTTATAACATCCTATTTACATATCTAACACTTAAAATTTTAATATTACATGCATACCAACCTATACTATTTAATATCAAATATGCATCATATTTCCTTGCCTACCATCATATATTTCATTTTTACCATCATATTTGATATAGAAATGAACTAGTGGGTGGTATGCAAAGTGTAGATATTGAAAGTGTTTATGGTGGATAAATATGTAAATAAAATAGTATAGAGTGGTATGTACGTAAATCTAAAAACAATATTACATGAATATAAAAAGATATATATAAAATATTAGCAAGTTCTATTCTTCTTCATTTTTATTACTAATTTTTACATAGTCAAGAGTTGGGCCTCAACTATTATATCATTGGCTTTATAAAGCTCCAATCCCTTGGAAAGCTTTCCCTTCTCAAGAAATGTTTCTTTGACACACTCAACCCTAAGCTCACCCCGCTTGAGAGTCTTCATAAAGTTAATCTTAACCATAACATTTTATCAAGTATTATCCCTAGTGTGTTAATTTTAGATCCTATATGTATCGAGCCAACCAACCTAGTTGGAATTATCTCCCATCACCCTAGAGTCACATTGTCACAACTCAGACCAATAAGACCCACAGACAGACTAGTACCTAAGGTATTATCTTGCAAAAGGGCAACCAAAGATGAGAGTTTTAGAAAAATTTTTAGATTTTTTTTTTTTCCAATTGAACTTAAAACAAACAACATACAACAAAGCTGCTAATAACTGTTAACATGCAAAAAAAACAACTCAACCAACATTTTTTTTATTCCTCATCAAAATGTATCTATTATTATTACACCATAATACATGACTATAGGCCAAACTATAGAACAGAGTAATTTAAATAACAAGTCATGATTGTACAAAAATCAGAAAAATAAAAACTATACAAACTCAAAAAGATCGGATCCTAACTCCGCTACTCAACTGCATAATTCCCTTTTCCACATCCTAAAATAGAGATAAATTGCTAGGTAACATAGCTCAGCAAGTTGCAGCTACCAATCTAAAATTTTAAATTATTTTATTGAAATTAAAAAGCAGCTAACAATGAAATTATTATACTGAACCAGATATCAGAATAGTGTTTGTAGATATCAAAATAGTATTTGAAGTTATCAGAAATATAAATATCAATGTAGAAAATGAATAAATAAGTGCTTCATATATCAAAATAGAAAATAACAAATTGTTCTAAGGTCCTTATACCTCCCATTAGAACAAAATTCAAAGAATTATGACCCTTATAACTCCCGTGTTGGCATATTAGAAAATAGATCCTCATGACTCCAATTGCCCAACACAATAACAAAGCTTCCTCCCCATACAACAAATCTCCTCATATTCACACATTTCAATCTACTAAGCATATAATTCATTTCATTTCAGTAAAAAAAATATAAAAACTTATTTCAAATTTTAACAAAATATTTTAACGATAGGCAACATAATATATTGTTGAGCATAAATATACTATTTCAGAATTTAATCAAATTATCATAGAGTGTTCAAAATATTATTTTGAAGCTTTAATTATACTATATTATTATTTTTGGGAACTATAATGATTTTTAAATTTGCCAAAAATCCCATATTTTTAAAGATATCTGGATAGGTTATATCATGTTGGCTTGTGACTAGTAAACCCTAAGATCTAAGTTTTGAAAATTATTCAAACATTTTGTCCAAGTTTTAACTTTAAAATAATAATAAACACAAAACTACTAACAACATTTAGTGTATTAAAAATAAACTCATCAATAAAATTTTCTTTTTATTAATTATCAAAATGTGTATACAACTATAGTATATGGCTACAGACTGAGCTACAAAATAGGACAATAAAAATTAGTCATGATCTTACAAAAATCAAAAGAAAGGAATACCTTTATAGACTTAGATTTGATCCTCACACTACTACTTACCTAGCCCTTTCTCTCTATCTGATCTTATAAAGATGAGGCGAAACAATGGTGAGCTAACATAGCTCAACAGACCACAATTTCCAATCTAAATTTCAAATCACCTTATTTCGTAAATGCTTAGCTGAGTTTTAAAAGCCATCCATAATAATCATTGCACTAAGCAGAATCATACTTGTGGACCTGTGGTTAGTAGAAACTTAAATAGTGATACCAAAAAGTAAATAAGTAAGAATTATGCATTCAACACCTGAACTTCCACCACACATCAAAACTTCCTTAGAATCACACAATTCAATCCCATAAGCACATCGTTCATTGCATTGCAGAAATTATAACATAAATAAACTCATTTTAAGAATTTTGCATAAATACAATTTCAAACTTTAATTGTATTACAACATTTTTTTTAGGGTTCAAAATTATTTTCCACAATTAAAAAGAAGCATATTTCAAAATCCCTGGTGTAAAATTCCTCAAAACATACTTAAATATTCAAAATCATTATCTCTATAACATATAGAAAGTTACACAGTAAAATTTTTGCTAGTGAAAAGTTATCATCGTTTTTTCCTAACATAATTATAATTCAAATAAAAAAATACTACAACTTTCTTATTTATGAAAACTAAGATAGGCAAAATATTACCTACTTCGATTCATATAACTTTCAGAATTAGGCTGTCAGCAGAAAATGATCCAAAGCAGCTTGAAATGGACTTTCTCTCACTAAGATCCCTCTCCTCTCTCTAATGTTGGTTGACTTAAGAAAAATGAATGGGTTCAAATAATGGATTTGAATATTTTAAATAATAAAATTTTCTCTAGTGCCGGCCATGGCACCATTCTACACAAAACCATGGCACCATCTGCATGCCGCTCATTAAACCATAGAAAAACCTGAGAACATTGGTGCCACGGCAATGCCAAAACCAGCGTCATGGTGCCTAAGGAGAAAATTTTAGATTTATTTTAAACATGAAAATAGATCCTCAAAATCCAATTCATAACACATAAGACTCTTACATGCAAACAAAGTATTTCCAAACACATGCAAAAAGGTTCAAATGATAAAGCGTAATAAATTTACCTTATTCAGATCAGGTATGAAAAGGTTGAAGTAAATACTGAATCTGGGAGTGTTATATATTAGTGCTTGAGCGAGTGCTTTAAAGAGTATAAGTAGGAGACAACTTTTTTCCCAAGCATCCTATGAGTGAGGGTAAGGAAATTGAGGTTTGGCATGAGAACTAGATGGGTTGTTTGAGTTTTATGACAGTGAAAGGGAATGGCTCATGAGTTGGAAGTTTCTTGTAGAAGGCATTTATCTTTTTCTTTTTCTCAGAGAAGCTGAGTAAACTCTCTACCCTTTTTTTTCTTGGTTGTGGTGTTTCATTGTTGTGAATTTTGGTGGTATTAGATGGCTTATTAATAACTAAATTAAGATCATATATGGACTAGTAAAATCATAACACAGTTTTGTATATAAAATTATTTTCTCTTAAAGTTGTGGTACTTAAATTTTAAATTTGTGTGCTAGAATATTCACATTGGAAGAAAGAATGTGTTTAACATCTTAACATGATATAAAAATCTACCATACACAAATAAAAGATGAGTTGCAAGCAATACAAAAAATATTTATGTTAAAACCCTATAATAGGAAAAAAATCATGACGACTAATCAAATTGAAATGATTCTACTAATATATTTCATTTGGTTACAAATGAGTCCTTTCCTCATAATTGGGAAAGGTATTGACATAATATAGTAGACATAAATTAGAGGGAATGAATTGTATGGTGGAGATTGAAAGAGCCTAGGGGTATTAGTGTTATCTTCATGTTACTATTTGTAATATGTTTGATTATTCTCTTTTGAGATGAGAAACAAAGAAGTCTAATATATTTTTTGATATTGGGTGTCATATATGGTATCAACAATGCACATCAGTCTTATTGGTGTTGATATGAGTCAAAGTTGTGAGTGATGGTAGAAGATGAAGAGGGCATCAGCATCGATGTTAATAGAGTCCATCATCCTTATAAGTGATAGCGTGCGTCAACATTACTGGTGATGGCATGCATCAACTTTTTAATCGATAACATACGTTGATCTTTTAGATGATGGTATATGTCAATGTTGATGGTGATGAAGAGCCATGAAGTCAAAGTGCCACTCAGTGATAATAGCCTATATGAAAGAAATTCACACACAAAAAAATTTGACATGTCCAAAATATTTGAGAGTATTACTCAATAACGTTAATATGCTCAAAAGTAGTTGAATCAAGTGATCCTACATGTTAATTAGAATGGGAAAAATGACTTATGAGTTCCACACTCTCATCTTGCTTTCGTGTTTCATATGTCCATCCTTGTAACAACTCAAACTCTTAACTATCGAGATATTATCCGTTTTGTCATAAAGCCTCCCGATTTTATCATGTTGGTGTAACTTACCAGTAGGTCACACATCCTAGAATTGCTCTGGGATGAGCACGCTTAAATGCAAAATTTTTTAAAATAAAAATTTTAACTATTAAACCTAAAGGCGTATCGATGTTTAAGAGTTTAGCTTCTTTTACCTAAGGGGTTTCACAATCTCCCCCACTTAAATAACTGACCTCCCTGTCAACATCTTTATCCTAGAATCATCCACCTGGTAGATATGATTCAAGAGGTGATCCCTTCAAGTTCAAGTGGTGGCTTCCATCATGTAAAACTTTATCTCATACAGGATTCAAGAGGTGTCTCCCATGGCATAACACTATATCTTGTATGACACTTAGTTTCCATATGCGGCTGGTGTATTTCTCTGATAAAATTGAAATGATATAGAGAAGATTAGCATGGCCCTTGTGCAAGGATGACATGCATAAATCGAGAAGCCTTTTGGTGTAATGGTTGAAATTATATCAAGTAATGATACAGACAAGATTAGTATAACCCTTTCTAATTTTGCATTCACATTTGACAAGGACTTTCAAAGCCTACATAATACCATCAAACATCAAATTATATCAAGTAATGATAAATATGCTTCTACGGTAAATCATATTGATCAACAAAATAATTTAAAGAGGATGATTATGTTTTAACGTCTAAAGCGTTATCAAACATCTAAGTTTAAGAATTACATGCAAAGACTTGTGGCCTATTCAAAATTCTTAAGAAATGTGAATCTAATGCCTATCATCTTGATTTAGCTGTTGATATGTTAATCCATCATGTTATTAATATTGAAGTTATGAACACATATAAGGAAGTTAACAAACATCCATTTGTTTAGTCCAACTCTTTAGCATGAGACATAGCACCTCATTTGAAGAATTTCTCATTTTTTTGAGATCAATTATAACATGACTATGAAAATACCCATAGATCTAGCTGTTGAGCATTATTTTTTTAGTTTGTTGGAAGAATAAATCACTTAGTGATGATACATGATTGGCTTGTACAGACTTACAGACTTTGGCTCCATAATTGGTATAATATTATTTGGATTTTAATTCTATAAGATAAAGTTTAATTATGGCTGAGTGAGTTGATGTGGCACATCATGTGACTAAAGATAATCAAGCTGAAAGTTTAATAACAAAAGCTAAGGCTAAAACTTAAAAAAAAAAAATCAAAGAAAATGCCCAATTATAAGAGCCCATAATTTGAAAAAAAAATTAAATGCAATTGTATTTTATATTTAATTTTCAACCTAGGGACTTGCATGACCAACCAAAACATGGGTTGGTATGGATGAGAAATTAAAAAGGGCGGTTCAAACTCCTCATTATTAATGTCCACTAACATCTTTTTTCTTTCTTTTTTCCCTTCTTTTTTTTTTTCCTTCAAAAGTAGTTTCCCAATAGTTTTGTAATGCCTATACATATAGATTGAAATATTTCATAATTTTTAAAATTAAAGAATACTTGAAACTAGTCTTATTTCCTATCTCAACATACTCTTAAACTTTATCAAACTCTACCATAATCTCGAGATTATATGTTCACATCCTAAGCTAGCATTATACTATTGTTTTCAGCCATTTATCTCACATAGAAGTCACTCCCTTAAGTGAGCTTCCAAATCAATCAAAATTGAACTAATCTTAGTATTCATGCTTGTATACCCCTTTAAACCCATCATCATTCCACCATAAACTCTAGAACATCTCTATGAATATGAAACTAAAGATTCATAGCCGTTTCTAGTCATTAATCTCACAAAAAGACTACCCTCCACCATCACCTATGTGTAAGGTTTTCAAAAACTTAACCAAAAGACAGCAAATAATATCAGGACCCAAATAACATTCACCTCAAAATAAAATCATTCTTATTCAAAAAAAAAAAATGATCGCACGAGTTTGCCATTGTTCAAGTAGGCGCACAACAATATAGCACTTTTTAATGTTTTTCTTATAAAAAAAATTGAAATTATTGTGCATGGAACTTTGAAATATCATACCAAAGCATCAGCCTTCCTCTCCTTCATCAAGTAGTCCTATTCATAACTTTAGCTATGCCTAAATATAAAATTTTCATCAAGAAACAAAAAAATTACGGATCATAGATTTTACACTCCACAACCCTATCCCAGAATCAAAAGCTTCTTGTTATTTAATAAATCCACAAGCTAGATTTTGATGACATGATAGTCTAAGTAGAAACTTAGGCTTTGTTTGTGACGGTTTCTTATTTCTTCTTAAAGGAGCTTTCTTTTGTACTAAAAAGTTATTTTAAGAAGCAACAAAAAAATCATCCAATCGAAGCCTTAGATGTACCTCACCACTTGCAAACACCAATAAAATTATCTCCAATTGCAAGTATAACAAGGTTTCTTTTGGAGATCTTTACTCTCAACTTATCAACTAAGCTTACTCATATTTCTTTATCAGGGCAATCAGTAAAAGACGTTGCCTCTAGACATAGCTCATATACTTCAGCATTATATAAAAACATTCAAACCATATACTTGAAACTATCTTCCTGAGAGCATAGATTTGGTTCATCTGCACTAGCTTGACGGCATAATGGAGTATATATCATGGGATTCCAAGCTTCAAATCCTGGCACCGACATGTTCTCTTCATTGAAGTAGAAGTTCATGCAATGCATTGGGCTTGGACAGATTGAAGCTTCGTCTGTGAAACTTGAACAAGATGCAACTGGAGACATTCCATTAATTTGACAAGTTTCTGTAGAGTAAGTAGGAAATGGAGTTGGGAATATCTTCTCAGATATGTCATTTTCAAGTGAAATAATCTGAAAGAAATCATAAATTCAGGGGAAACAATGTCAACTAGACCTCATTTTGATATAAAACTTCTTTCATTTTTTGTTTGATAACTTTTCCATGAATGTTACCTTTGAAGCACGTGAAAGAACAAGCGGTGACTGATATTTGGTTTGACAAGAATCTGCTATATGTTGGGCTACCTCAAAGCTATTTCCATAGGAAAAAGCTTCAGGGAATGTGTCATTGCCCAGATCAAGGAGGTTTATCACTTCACTACTGCATTTTGTCTTGCAGATTTCACTTGTGGAAGAATCAAGAGCCATTTTAGCTTTAGCCTCTCCTAGCTGATGCAAATGATCACTTCTTTTAACAACACGGCACAAAGCAAAAGCTCCCTGGAGGAAAAGATGGAGAATTAAACATATATGTTGAATTTTTATCAGCAAAAATGCTTGTTAAGAAGCAAATTCAATTGCAGATTACTTAACCAAGAAAGATATGTTTCCTTGAGGAAGATCATCATATAAACGGTACTCATGCATAACCCAATCAGTTCTTTCTCCTCCAGGAGCTCTTCCCCGGTAGAAAAAAAGAGTTTTCCTTAGTCCTTTGATGGAAGACTCACAGATGATTTTTCTATCTTTACCAGTAGCTTTCCAATAGCCTGAACTGGTTGCTCTATTTGTGCGAGAACCGTTCGGATATTTTTGATTGCGAGGGCAGAAGAAGAACCATTCCATGTCTCTTTTTGGCAGGAATGATTTTTCTTTAAACAATAGAGTAAATAAAGGATAGCAGATCAGAATATTATAGTACAGAACAAATTTTGGTCACAGTTCATATGAAAAGATAACAAGCTCTTAGCACTTTTAGAGGGTAAAGTTAAACTTTTTTTTTTCTTAGCTCTGAAGTATTTAGATAGAAAGGAGTGACAAAAGCTGGAATTTTACCTGGTAACTCCCATGGATCAAACTTGTACAGGTCAATAACTGGAATCACTTCAAGCTCAATCTTCAGCCCATCCACTTTCCTCTTTAAGAAATATTCCACCAATTCAACATCCGTAGGGTGGAAGCGGAAACCAGGAGGTAAAGACATATCACCCACCCTTCGAAGTTATAACAATTTTGAAATCCGAGTTTGAAAATTTCTAAAAGACCTAGCTTTAGGCTGAAATAATTTAAAATAAAAAGCTGCACACTACTTCATTAGATCGAAGTATGTTTTTTAACGGCCAATGCTGTATCTATTGAAGATTTGAAATATCCAAAAATAGAAGCTTTTCTGAACGCGATGTTTCTCCACAACGAAGCAGAATTTACGTAGTATAATACTCTTCCGCAACAGAACCATTATTCTAAGGAACTTCAGTGCTTTGGAGAACACGAAGTTCTCCGATTGAGGAACACAGGTAGAACTCAGAACCTAGATTTTAATAGGAAGATAAATGTAGACGGTAGATCAAAAGAAAGTCAAATAAAGATGTGATTTGAGAGCAGTGAGATAATCAAAATCTCAAATTTGGTTGTAAAATCGAAGATAGATGAACCTAATAGAAAGAGAACAAGTTAAGTGCTTTTTTATAGAAAAAGGAAAGGGAACGCCGAAGCAGCCGAAGCAGCCGAAAGCAGGATTTTGTTCGTATGAATTATGAAACAACCCCTAAAGCTTTCAAAAGCGAGGGATGTTCAGACTCGAACCGTTTTCCCCCAATAATTTGTTGAACAAATGCTAAAGCACTTAAAGTTAAAAAGAATAGTCATTCAGAGTAATATGTTTTATGTAGCTAATTTTAATTTATTGGTTAAGTAAAATTATTGTGTGATGAGTGTCGTTCGGAGGCGATTCAATACCCGCCATGTCACATCTTTGCCGTGCAGCACAGTTGCGCACTCGTTGTGTACCAGGTGATATGATGCGTTCTGATTCGCCTTCGGACAGTCCGGTGCTGCACATAATAATTTCTCATTGCTTAGAGCTTTGACTATCAATCAAGATGTCTTAAATTTAAAGCTAGCAAATTTGATGTGTTTGCAAGTTTGCTTTCGCTTAGTCAAATGTTCAAAAAAAGAGTTATATGCTCTCTTTCTCTCTAATTTAGGATTCTAAGTAACATAATACACTGTTAAAATCTCTGCCTGCCGGTATTAAATTTGCTGGAAAAATAAAGGCTAAAAACAACATCAATCATCAAATGTAAGTAAATGATATAGTTCAATGCTTGAAATGTTAACTAATTGAGCTTGGCCAGTTAGCCTCATTGTCAATAATGACCCAAAGACAAGATTTATTAGAAAAAGAAGTTTCTCAGTAGTTACTAAAGATTAAGATTTTATTTGAGACAATTTTTTTACTGTTTTTTAAAGCAATTTTTTAATTCAAAATTTTAAATTTCTTACTAAAAAAATTACTTTAAGAAGCAGTAAAAAAAACATCCCAATTGAAGCCTAAGACTACAATATTCTAAACCTCTCTCTCTTTTCTCTCTCTAAATAAAACTACTTGATAATAGCCTTGTCAGCATGGTACTAAATTTTCCTTGAAGTTTCAAGGGAATGATTGAAGCTATGGGCCTGACGACGTGCAATTAGACAAAATAATTTATTAATTTGGTGGATCAAATATTTAGAAATAATATATATTACCCAATTTAATTTGAATGCATTCATCAATCAAAAAAGTTAAAAAAAAAATGTTCTTGATACAACAACAACAAGAAGCATTTATCTTAATATGTCGGATCTGTAATTATTTTTCTCTATGATGTCTTATGAAGAATTAAAATCTCATTTAAATATACTAAAAAAATCATTTCTAATACTTTATTTTAAAATCTATCTCTATTTTTTTAACGTAGATTGAATCTAATAGATCTACTCTCCTAATAGAGTCATCAGAAGGCTAATGTTTTACATAACTAAATCATCTAAGACGACTCCCACTAATCTTTATCGGTCAGTGAAGCTACTCCAATCTTTTTATGGCAATATTTTTTTTTGGAAAACTGATAGCAGCATATTCTTGATGGTATGAACCCTTAGAAAATTTTAATCAAAAGTTTACAAAGGAACTTCAATCTGACTCAGAGAACATCTCTTTTGTTATTTATTATGAGTAAATGATCAAAAGCTGTGAGGGAGGATTGAAAAAGCTGTGATTTTTTTATTATTTTTTTAAATATGATTTTTAATTTCAACTTTTGAAGCAATCAATAATAGATTGCAGTGAAGAAGACGGAGAAGAAGACAAAAAATGTGAGAGTGGGAATAATACAGAGCTTCTTTGGCAGTAAAGAGAGAGACCCTATCCGACGACTTGAAGAACACAGCTTTCGGTGGTAGGTTTTTGTCTATGATATGATGGATGATTCACCATTGATGCCACATTGGGACTATGAGGCTTAATAAATCTTTCTTTTTTTTTTTTAATCTTTTAAGGCTTAATAATAGGATGAACGCATGCGAGCCTCTTTTAATACAAATATTTTATGAGCCAAATTTTTATTAAAAAAATGCTTTAGAAACAATAAAAAAATAGTCTTTTTATTTGAAATAATTTTCTTACTGTTTATTAGAGCAGTTTTTTAATATAAAAATTTTAATTTTTGTATTAGAAAATTATTTTTAAAACCAGTTAAAAAACTGCCCCAAATAAAACCAACCTATATTAAATAACTTCAGATAAATAAATAAATACTTATTAGTGTTCAAATACATGTGAATGAAATTTTCTACTACAACAACAACAACAAGCCTTTATCCCACTACGTGGGATCGGCTACATGTGATTGGAATTTTCTAATAAGTCAAAAATTTTTACTTAAAAACAAGTAATAAAAAATTGAGTTGTAAGGCACAATTTAAGTTCCCTCCAACTCCCTAACAAATAATATAAGAAGCAAATATTTGGTTGGAATTGATTGAGTATTTGTTAACCTCACAAGTCTTTGAGTATTTCTCTTATACAAAAACAATAATATTAAACATTTATCCTATTATGTAGGGTAGGCTACCTGAATCCTTTTTCTCAATTATTTCCTATTAAAAGATTTTTAAATCTAATAAAAAAATATCATTTATAGATCTTTTTAGATACACCTCTACTTTTTTTAACATAAACCGAATTTAATGCATCTACTCTCTTAATCAAACCATTTGAGACGACTCTCTAATCTTATTTGCCACTGAAACTATTCCAACTTTTTCATGTATATACTTGTTTCACATTCTATCTGTAAGTGTAAAACTACTCATCCACTTGAGTATTCTCATCTCTACAACACTTAACTTTATGCTTCTCTTTTAAATGACAAAATTATGCGCCATAAAACCTTACAGTTCTCACCACCATCTCACAATTTTTTCCTAAATTTGAGGATAAGGTGGTCGAATCCAAGTAAGAATCTCACAAATTACAGGCAATGAATAACATTCTTCATCTGTAACATATTTAATTTCAGAAAATTTTTTTTGCAAATCATGACCTTATGTCACACAAGCTCTCATAAGCTGCTTAAATGGTGATGTGAAAAGCAGCCATGGATGACAAATCTAGGTGCAAATTTGCATTAAGATTTCATCCAGAAGGCAATATTACCCTGCATCTTGGACTGGTATTTGCTGCCGCACTCTTTCATCTTCATTATTGTTAAGCACAGTTAATTGCTCCAGCACAATCTCAGTTTCAACTTCACCATCAGCTCCTGTAAATTGTTCTTCCTCACTCTCAGCTTCAACTTCATCATCATAAGCACCAGTAATCAGTTTCCTTCGAATCTCACTTTTAGCTTCAATATCATCAGCTTCACTGGACTGTTTTACTCGAATTTTAACACGTTTCCCTTTGATGTAGCGATATTCCCAGTTAGGTGGAGGGTATTTCATATGCAATTTCTCATATTTGTCATGCATGCCTAAGTTCTGAAACACCTCACCAACCATCTTCACAATGGATCGATCAGGCCTGACGCCAAGTTCTTCCATATCAGCAAATACCTGGAAAAAGAGAAAAGCTCACAGACTGAAGCTAAAATCTGGATATGAGGGATAGGGATAGGGCCATTTAGATAAAAATACAACAACATTAACAACATCAAGCCTTTGTCCCACTACATGGGGTCGGCTACATGAATCTTTTTTCGTTGTGAGTTGTTAAAAGTCAAATTATCATTTAAATCTAATAAAGAAAGATCATTTCTAATATTTTCTAACCAAGTGTTTTTTAGGTCTACCTCAACTTTCCTAACTAGGTCATCGGAAGGCCTCCGTTTAATGTTGCCAAACCATCTAAGGCGGCTCTCTCTAATCTTATCTTCCACTGGAGCTACTCCAACCTTTTCACGTACAAAAAAAAAACATTCTTTAAGTGGACATATTTAGGCACACTAACATTGGACATTTCACATTTCTCATCATGCTCAAGCTAATCTTAGCCCCTATGGGTTAGTTTGTTTTGATGCAAGTATCAAAAAAGAGGTTGGAACTTAATCCCATAACTAAGGCTTCGTTTGGGACGGCTTTTTTACCACTTCTTAAAACGGCTTTTTAATAAAAAATTAAAATTTTATTACTATAAAGCTTATTTAAGAAGCAGTAAAAAAGTCATCACAAACGAAGCCTAAATTCAAATGTTTGTTCCTAGAAACTACCAATTACAAGTGCATTGACTTCAGTTTTTCCTTAGGTAAAATTTTAAGAAATATTAAATTAATAAGAGTAAGAATAAAAGTGATGCACAAGATTGTGCGAATTATAGAGGTATTAAGTTAATTTGACATACTTTAAAACTATGGGAGCGAGTTATGGAACATAGGTTGCGGCGTGATACTAATGTTTCTCAAAATCAATTTGGATTCATGCCGGGTAGGTCGACTATGTGTTGACTAACAAAAAAAAATCAATACAGATAATACTGAACGGATGAAAAATAACCGCCTCTGACGACCCCACTTAGCCGGAAAATGCACCTCTTCAGAGACACATCAAGTATATCACACTTAAAAATCATAAACAAAGATTATTGGGTCAAATTGAAATATATATGGATTTTGCTTCTTGCAACAATTTAGTATTAGCAACTAAGTCAATAACAACATCAAAAGAAGCTAATGGCAAGAGTACAATCTTCATTGGGCAAGTCATATTTACTGCTAGAGGATATATTGTTAGTTTCTAGATGAGAAGCATGAGACTGAACTAAAAAAATTTTGATCAAGCATAGAAAATTACTTTTCATTGCCTTAATTATCAATTTTAGTCAACAAAATTCAGTTGACGGAAATATTTGAATTGAAGTATTGGCAATGAGCATTGGTAAAAGAAGCACACTTTATGTAAGCTTCCAAAAAAAAAAATCAGAAACTGCTGCAGTTGTATCTACAATTGCTCCATACCGGTTTCCATGAACAAAAGTAGATTCGATGAACTTTTCACTTGTTGTGGCCTACAGAAATCCAAAGGTGGAAGGAAATTTTGTTGTTAACTTGCTACTTATGTGTCGTTATCAATTGAAGAGGAATGAAGCTGTTGACTAATTCAAAGTAAAATAAATAAATAAAAGATTTTAGTTTTTTTTTTTTTTTAAGCAGTGTATCTCTCCACAATCCTGATTTAATATTCAAAAGATGCATCTCCTCATGGCCTCCAAGCCGACCCCACAATATCAAAACGATGCAATGTTTCGTTTCAACAACTACCATCTAGTAATCTATTCAATAAAAGGGATGGAAGAGAAAGAACGAGGGACATTGGGAATTTCTCTAAGAATTTCTTGCTCTCACACCGTCTAAAGATCGGCTACCTTTTGTTCGTGAAATTGTCGTTTGTCTACAAGATAATTGTCGTTTTTCTAAAGAATTCGCAACCGGACTTTTCTATTCGAAGAGGGCACTCACTTCGTCTGCTCCGTTTGCAAGCACTTAGCCAAACGAATTTGTATAACAGGTATAAGCATATTCGCTTTGCACGATCCGCACTTACCGTAAAAATCCCAATCTCCGATCCACTTCCGGCCATCTCCGTCTACAGAATTCTGCTTGCATCTCCTATACTCAAGCGAAATCTGAAATTATGTCATCCACTTAAAGAGAAAGTCCATCATTAGTATTTCGTCCTATTCTAAAATAAGAAATATAAACTATCTGCATGAAGTTATCTTGAACTATTTAACTATAATATGCATGCGTCCTTTGCCTACCTAAAAGTTTTTTCATAGGTTTTAATTGCCTGTGCAACTGAAGTCATTTACTTCAGATGGTAATGATTCTAAAGCAATATTACTATTTTGTCCTCATAAGAATTCTACCTTATCCCATTTCTTAAATAATGAAGTTTAATATCAAGATATTATGTTACAGAATTATGATATCAAATTATCATGTTCTATTCCAATTCCATTTTTTAATTCTATTCTCCGATTTTCCTTGTGATCATTCTATTCCATTTTAATTTCAATTTCTAATTTGGCTTATGATTAAATATGCCAACAAATTACATTGATTTCAAAATGAAATATTTATGTTAGCATCGAACAAATAATAAATTACATAAGCCCTCCCACCGTCCATTTTAAATCTGGTCAGGAAGAATTTAAATCGAAGACCCCGGTCGTCGTACCTTAGGTCCGATCGGGATGGTTTGAAATTGAAGACCTGCGCCGTTGATTTTTAATCCGGGCAGATGGTTTGGAATCTGAAGACCTCGTGTCGTCGACCTTAGGTCCGACCGAGATGGTTTTAAATTTGAAGACCTCACGCAGTCGATCTTAGATCCTGGTGGGATGGTTTAAAATCGAAGACCCTACGCCGTCGACCTTAGGTCCGGGTAGGAAGAAATTTCGGCAGATGCCGTCCCGATTTCTCCCTCGGTGGGGAGGAGACGCCGGGAGGCTGCCGGAATTTCCTTAAAATCAAGAGGGAAATTCAATTTGAATTTTGATTTAACTGAAATGTTAAAATTGATCTTTAAATTAACTGATTCAGTTAATTATGATTTAATAAGAATTAATTTATTAAGATCAATCAAATAATTGATTAATTGAGATCTTTGAAATCTTTTATCTCATCAAATGCGTGGGAGTGGAGAACTTACAAACATTTATTACTCTCCCAAATGCCGCTCAACATAAGTGAAACTTTGTTGGTTATCGTTTTAACCCAAAGACTATTCTTGAGAGGCTTCGAATGTCTCTAAATGAGATTGCTTTGAATGTCTCTAAATGAGACATCTTTTAAAAAACAAAAAAGACCTAAAAAGACTTGGTTAGAAAATATTAGGAATGACCTTTCTTTATTAGATTTAAACGAGAATTTGACTTTTAATAGGACACAATGGAGAAAAAGGATTCATGTAGCCGACCCCACGTAGTGGGATAAAGGCTTGATGTTGTTGTTGTTGTTGTAATAAATTTACTTGTAATCACCTAATTAATAAAATAATATAAAGTGGTTAGAAGCGAAAATAAACAAACAAGCATCATTACAGCTTACTTCTAAAACTATACTGAAATCACTTGAAACGCTTACGCTGAAATTATTCATGGTACAATCATGCCTGAGTATGCCCGGTCCAGCTCCAGCATCTTACCATCAAACTATTGAGCTAAAATTCAAGGTCCTAATTAGGAGTAATTTTTCTGTGCGGACGTCGAACGTCATCCAGAGCCCAATGAATTAGGAGTAATTTACTGTAGCTCGGTACCACTCAGTACCAGATGATGTGGCGCATTTTCATTGGGCTCCGGACTTTAGTTGTGTCCGGTGTCCGCACAGAATAATTTTTCCTAATTAGCATGCCACTCAATACTAGGTTTTCTAGATGGCTTTTTAAACTACACCAATTGATGATATGAATAATATAGGATTCCAAGGTAGCTTATCGTTTTATAGTTCTGATGCTTTATTTGTGATAACGGCCTCACCCAGTTGTGTACTTAGACGGCAACTTCTCTAGCTCATGTGAGCTCCTAGGATACGGATTAAAAATAAAAGAATAGAATTGCTATACCTCAAACATCTTTTCGTTCAAGCCTTTACTGTAGTATAAAGAGATCATTTTCATAAAGAAAACGCGAGGAAGACTTTCCAAATATTGTGAAAATATTTTCGTCCATAATTCTTCTGCTTCTTCAAGCCTTCCATCCTCCGCCAAAGCATTTAATAAGGTGTAATAGGTTCCCAGGGTTTGTCCCTGGCCTTTGCTTAACATCCACTTTATCACCTACAACCAAAAGTTCACAATCTGGAATAAATGGAGATTTGAATCAATGAAGCGTAAGAAGAACAAAGAGGGGGGAGAAAGTCATATATTTTAGTGTGGTAGATACCTGAATTATTCTCTTCCATTCCTTCTGAAACTCGAGTGTCTTCAGTGCCTTCTTGATTACGATCAAAGGAAACTCCAAATCCCAAGCAATGAATGAATCAAGAGCTCCATAAACCTCTTCTTTAACATTTGACAATTCCTTTATCTGGGAGACAAAAAAGAAGCAGCAGCTAACAGAATATGAAAATTATCCAGAGCGTTTCTCGGCCTTAAGCCATATTTCCTACAGGTATGAAGTTTCAGAACCAGGGAATTTAAACTAATCACCTTACGCACCACATTCTATATCCAGTCTTTATGCTATTTCAATCACACATTAACAAATTCAGCCTTGGAAGAGAAAAGAGAAGCTACCATATATGAAAATCACAAAGAGCAGTTCTGTCTTCTCTTACAGGCATCAAGTTCCAGAACCAGAAAGTAAAACTCAATAAAAGAAAATTGGTTCTTGTTTTATGTCTCCAATTCAACTGTTGAATGATAATTGGTCAACCAAGCAACAATATGATCCATGAAGTTTTCAAGGTATCAAGGAACTGGGTCACAACTCATGGCCAGTTACTTCAATTTCCAGGCGTTAGAGAAGCCAAGACAACATTAAAGCTATAACAACACGTGCGGCTAGATGGGAGGTAACACTAGAGTAACCTGCCGCCATATGGGAAAGTCAATTGGGTTGCTTTGGAGTGTGAGCTTAGAATGATATAGCATAACGTATTGTAATTTTAAACGAGAAATTTTATCCCAAGAATATTATATTTGACTTATGTTAAGACCCGGTTGAGAAAGTAACATGTTGTCACATAAAACAGCGGCCTTCAGATGACCCGGTTGAGAAAGTAGATGCATTAGACTTGACTTATGTTAAGAAAGGCAGAGGTAGACCTTAAAAACTTGGTTATATAATATTAGAAATGACCTTTCTTTATTAGATTTAAATGAGAATTTAACTCTTGACATAACACAATGGAGAAAAAGAATTCATGTAGCCGACCACACATAGTTGGATAAAGGCTTGTTGTTGATATTGTTGTTGTAATGTAATTTTTATCTCTTTAGAGTTATATGATTTACAATTTTCTTTATAGTTCAAAAGTGTAACACAATATTTTGAAATACAATTAAGATTACTCTTTTTTCCCCTCAAAACTTAACTTGGCGGCAAGTTTGTCATCACTTGCTTTGGTGAGATTGAGTGATACCCATACTTTGGTACGAGCATATTGGTTACCTAGTTAGTTTCCTGCTAATTCTCTTGTATTGCTTGCAATCTTCTTTCACAACTCTTCTAGGATAAAGCATCACTTCATTAGGTGAGAAATTCTCTTATCTCAAAATTTGAAAGCACTACGGCCCAAGTTAGCTCGATTGACAACCTTATATGCAAATCTTTATGGGCGATAATCTTATCAAATCTTTATTTATAATTCAAAGGAGTGATTGAATTTAAGAGGGATGCTATAATCCAACAATGCATTAACAACTAAATCACTTTATTCATCTAATCCTCTCTTTCTCTCTCTTTATATATATATATATATCTGAGAGAGAGAGAGAGAGAGAGAGAGAGAGAGAGAGAGAGAGAGAGAGAGAGAGACGTTATCGAGAACCCTGACATATCTATCCATCTATATTGCTTCAAGGGCAATCTTCTCTTCCAAATTAACCCTATCAGATAATTAATAAACATCTTAAAAGTACTACCATATTTCTCATTAAATCATTAAGAATTTATCATATTTTGATCGCCCTTCCTTCATCTCTCCCCCTTTTGTGTATTACACTTAGGTAACTCTAAACATAGGTAGTGAACTTCATTAAATTGCTTTGGAATGCTTCCTTCCTTGAAATGCATTCAAAGGATGCACTTCTATTTCAAATCAACCCTAAAAGATACTTGGAATTTTACTTATTAAATCCTTAAGAATCTATTTTATTTTTATCCAAGCTTCCGCTAAAAAACATCACCTCCAACAAAACTAGTAAAATCAACACCACTTATATATAACAAATTGTAGCATGAGCATCTCGTATATCATCTTTGTGGAATTGGAATATGAAACAATGTCTACATAAATTGACGAAGGGTTACTGAATAGTTTTATTGATTTTGTATTTTTTTACTTAGATTTTATAGGTCAAAGATGTATAGTGACTCAAAAAATGACTTAACATTTTCTAGTTTTTGAACAACACAATGCTCTTAACAGATAAAAATTCAAATGCAAGTACAATTGCTGATTAAAAAGCAGATTTGTTGCGACTATCATGATTATAATAAAATTTGAATGATTTTGCAGCTCTCACGATGATGCTTATTAGTTACAAGATTGATGAAACCTTATAAGGAACCTTTAAGATGGAGCAAACGTGTTAGCCTGCAATCATGTAGATGGGATAACAATGTAAGGTCATGGCTGCTAATGTGACTGGATATTAAGATACCCTATAAGTTTGATGGACAGATTCTGCTTGCTACGCTTGAGGGAATAATTGTGTTATCATGCTACATGCAATGGTTCCCTGAAGAAATAAGTTGTAATTGCTGAGAGAACGTATTCAACTTACAGATTCAACAAGCTTTTGTGATTTGGAGATGGTGCCAATCCTATTCCTGGTTTTCCATACACGAGGGAATCTGGGTCTGGGACCCCTGGCATGACATACCTGACGTACATGTCATCGCTATATATGAAGGAAATGTAGGAACCCACAGGAAGGAAAAAAACTGATGTTAAAATGTAAAAGACTGAAAAATCTCCATAAAAAAATACACATTGAATAGGTTTTGCACAAATTTGCAGCAAGAAACACTTCAACACATTCTTAAACAACTATAGGTCTTAATCAGGATTATGAAAAACACCAAAGGCATGATCCAATAACATCTTTTTGAGGTGAAATAATATACGTAAGCGTTTAAGGCGAGCATGTTGAAAACCATAAGCATTTCAGTAATGAATATCAGCAGTCATCTGTAATACTTCAAATAAGACTTTACAATGATAAATTTATCAGAACAAAAAAAATCAAAAGATTTTCTTTTTTAGGATCACAAATAATGAATCACATGGCCCCATGACCATACTTAGGGAGGAAAATCAAAGAAAAGACGGTCTCTAAAACTGATTCTACAATTCATCAATCAACAAGACACTTGCAAAAGAATGACAAAAACAGCTTGAACTGTCATTAACTCCATCAAGGAGTCATGTACCACATTATGGTGGCTTTTATAATTTAGCAGTCAATTAATAGTGAATTTTCTATGGCTGCTGGCTCAGAGCGAATCCATACGAATCCATAAAAGCCCAAGGTCCTAGAGCTGAACTTGTATAAAACGATAAATAGTTTAATGGATGTTTCCGTAAGTTATATAATTTATGTTGAAGTTAAAATAGATAGACATTTAAACAGTCTGTGTTATAGGCCAAAAAGCTTTTTTAGCTCTCAAAATTAGTCTTATTTTATGCAAGGGTAGCTACATCTGGAAGATATAAAACTTTACAGTTTGTGTTGGCTACAACCAACGAGGCTCAAAAATTTTGTGTAGTTTCTTCTTTTACGTTTACTTTAGACATTCTTCTCTTATCCTTCTCAACAAGATTTCATAAATCTATTTTTAATAATGCTGAATCATATTTGATTTGCTGGATTTAGTAATTGAAGCTTATAAATTTAAAAAATAAAATATTTGCAAATATATAAAATTAAAGCAAAACCTGAAGAAAAAACAGAAGCTAAAAGTAAACAGAAGAGCTGTTACATGGTATGCAGTACGATCCCTTTCAGTTATTGAATTTACAAAGCATAATCAATCAAATTGGTATATATATATCAATGGCAAATATGCTACTTCATGACATACAAAGGACTAGTAATGTGCCAAATTAAACAAAACAAATTTCTTCAAAATTAGCATCTACAGAGATTATAGTTTACCACTGTACAATCCAGCTTCTGGGAGGGTTCGTTCACTTGTATTCTTGTCAGAATCGATGGTGGATAAATGGTGCAGAGCATTCTGAAAATCTAATAGAATTACTAGTCAAAAAAATGGAGCATTATATAAACAACCGTATTCAATCAAATATAAAACTACTAACAAAAAAATGCATTAAAATTACAAATTGTAACTGCAACCACAACAAGAAATCACGCATATCTCCCCTTGAAATAAGTATGCAATATGTAGAAAACTACCTTGGGCGAAATTTTAGTTAGGACAACAACAACAACATCAAGCCTTTATCCCACTACGTGGGGTCGGCTACATGAATCCTTTTTCTCCATTGTGTCCTATTAAAGGTCAAATTCTCGTTTAAATCTAATAAAGAAAGGTCATTCCTAATATTTTCTAACCAAGTATTTTTAGGTCTACTCATCTCTGTCACACTTAACTTAGTATTATGCTTCTCTTTTAATGGCCAACATTCGGCACCATAAAGCATTGCAGGCCTCACTATCATCTTATAGAATTTTCCCTTAAGTTTGAGGGGTACATTTCTATCACATAACAAGCCCGATGCATTCCTCCACTTCAACCATCCAATTTGAATTCTGCTGATAATATCCCCATCTATTTCACCATCACTCTGAACAATAGATCCAAGATATCTAAAACGTGTACTCTTATTAATGACTTGATCGCCCAAAGTCACAATCCCTTCAGTAGGTCTATTACTACTAAAATTACACTCCATATATTCTGTTTTAGATCTACTCAAGCGAAAACCTTTAGACTCTAAGGTTGACCTCCATAATTCAAGTTTACCTTCAACTCCCTCTCTAGTCTTATCAACAAGAAGAATATCATCAGCAAAAAGCATACACCAAGGTACATCCTCTTGCAAATGTCTAGTGAGAACATCCATGACTAAAGCAAATAGATATGGGCTTAAGGCTGATCCTTGATGTAACCCAACCGAAATAGGGAAATACTTGGTCAAACCACCTTGTGTTTGAACACAAGTAATAGCTCCTGCATACATATCTTTAATGATTTGAATATAAGCATTATTGACTCCTTTCTTTTCAAGAACTCTCCATAGCACTTCTCTTGGAACTTTATCATATGCTTTTTCTAAATCAATAGATATCATATGTAGATCCTCCTTATTTTCTCTATATTTCTCCATCAAACCTCTTAATAAATGTATGGCTTCCATAGTCGACCTACCCGGCATGAATCCAAATTGATTTTGAGAAACATTAGTATCACGCCGCAACCTATGCTCCATAACTCGCTCCCATAGTTTTAAAGTATGACACATTAACTTAATACCTCTATAATTCGTGCAATCCTGTGCATCGCCTTTATTCTTAAAAATAGGAATTAACATATTCATTCTCCACTCATCCGGCATCTTTTTAGTCTTCAAAATAGTATTAAAAAGTTTAGTAAGCCAATAAATTATTTCATCTCCTAAGCATTTCCACACCTTTATTGGAATATCATCAGGTCCAACAACTTTTCCATCCTTCATTCTATTTAAGGCCTCTCTAACTTCGGTTTTACTAATACGCCGATAAAAACAGAAATCTTTATTTTCATTTAGGGTGCTAAGGTCACTATAGTCAATCTTATTTTCATAATTTTCATTAAAAAGTTTAGCAAAATATCTCATCCACCTTTATTGAATATCTTCTAAGAAAAGTATTTTTTGATCTTCATCCTTAATACACTTCACTTGAACTAAATCCTTACTACTCTTATCTTTTTGTTTGGCTAACTTATACATATATCTTTCTCCCTCCTTAATATCTAATATATTATATAAATCACTAAAAGCTAAGGTCTTTGCATCGCATATTACTTTTTTAGATTCCTTACGAGCCTCTTTATTTCTTTTCCAATTATCAGAATTTTAAAATTAAACCAATTTTTATAACAAATCTTCTTATTCTTAATTTTTTCTTGCACATTTGGATTCCACCACCAACTATTTTTATTATTATGAGTTTTTTCTTTGGATACTCCAAGCACATCTTTTGCAATATTCTTAATATCACTAGCAATTTCTTCCCACATAACATTAACATCCTCATGCACGGATAAATCTTAATATCTAAAATCTTACTCTAAAAAATATTTTTGTTAATATTCTTTAAATGCCCCGATCTAATCCTAGAATATCGTTTTACTTTATTTTTTATTATATGCCCCTTTATCTTAAAATCCAAAACTAATAATCGATGTTGGGTAAATAAATTTTCACTCGGAATAACTTTACAATCTTTGCAATCTAAACAATCTAATTTTCTTATAAGAAAATAGTCAATCTGGGTTGTACTATATCCATTTTTATAAGTGATGAGATGCTTTCCGTTTCTTAAATAAGGTATTAGCAATTGAAAAATCATTAGCTAAACAAAAATCTAATATGATCTTGCCACCTTGATTTGTTGTTCTAAAATCATAGCCACCATGAATGCTTTTAAAATCATCTACCTCTCCACCAACATGTCCATTTAAATCTCCTCCAATAAACTCTTTCTTCTAAAGGTATCTTTTGTAATAATTCCTCTAAGTCATTCCAAAAATTTAATTTAAATCTCATATCCAAACCTACTTAAGGAGTATAAGTACTTATAATATTAACAATCTTATCATCAACAATAATCTTTAAAGCTATAATTCTATCTCTAATCCTATTAATTTTTATAACATTATCCTTCAAACTCTTATCAATAATAACGCCTACACCATTTATAGTACGACTCCTACCCGAATACGAAAGTTTAAATCATAAACTATCAATTTCCTTAGCCTTCTCTCCAACCCATTTAGTTTCCTGAATGCACAAAATATTTATCTTCCTATGAACATAATATCTATTAATTCCATTAATTTTCCTGTAAGGGAACCTATATTCCAACTTCCTATCCTAATTTTAGTTTCATGGACTAGCTTCTTTGTCCACATCCGTCCTTGATGTGGAAACCCTTGCCTATTTAACACTACACCCAGGCGCTGGTACAGCGGCCCTTGCACACTTGTCACTGTATTCAGGCCATACAGCGCGTCGCTTTCAGGGAACGCTCTAGCAATAACACAATTTCTTAAAGGATTCATGACATTATTATTCGACGAGTTTTACGCTGACTGTCGACTACCTAACGCAACCCTCTATTTTTCTCATCCAGGACTTGGGAATGGCAACGGTAGTGTTTAATTTTAAGAAGGACCATGTGTTTAATTTAATCAAGCAGAATGAGCGCTGTTAAAATTCATTTAAGAATATGTAACCCCCATGCATTTTAATAAAATGTTTTCATTAAATGCAAAATATCCAAAAAAAACCATTAATGTTTTCATGAAAATGCTTTTTTTTTTTTGTATTTTCTACCTTCGTCGCATGCACGTGAAATCCATTCAGGGATATTAAAAGCTTGGTCAGATAATAGGTAGGTAAGCAAAATATGAGCGAGGAGCATTTGAGGTATTTTACTATTATAAATAGTGTTGACCCCTAACTGCATAACCAACCCCACTACCCATGATCTCTCTCATGTAACTCCCTCTCAAGGCAATAAGAACCTCAAGTTGAATTGAAACCGCTCTATTCCATATTTGCATGCGCACTCACGCAGACAAAAATCGAAACTCCCTCCCACCCACTCTCTATCTCTGTCTCATGATCAAAGCCAACTGCAAGCATCCCGCAAGCAACTCCTCTCATAATCACTCAACCACACAAGAAGCCGAAACCTTCCACTTGTTGTGCCGTCGACCCGACTCTGAAGCCCACACCGCACGCCTAAGCTGTCGAAGTCATCCAAGATCCAGTCTTCCCGCCGCGAGCCTGGATCCTCCTTCGTCTGAACTGATACCTGGTTCTGATCCTTCTCCCCATTTGCCTCAAGCCAGCCCTATGATCCGACCTCCAGCTCTCTGTCTGACCCGTGCCGACCTCCCTCCATCAAAGCCCTAGCTGGCTCGAGCCCGTCTGATCTCCTCTTCCTTCTTTTTTGTTTATCTATATATAATTGTTGCGGACTAGAATATACGCAGCGATAGAGTTAAAAACTTTCGTCTCAGTGTTGTATGGATATCTAGCACACAAACAGAGGAGAAATAGCAACATCAGGATTTTTACGTTGAAAACCCTGAAAGGGGAAAAACCACGGGACCACGCCCAGTTGAAAGAATTCCACTAGTGTTTGCTTGAAATACAAGAGGCTGACTCCTCCTTAAAATTTAGGACGATCAGATTACAATGAATCACTTCAGGATTAAACACCAGTAACAACGTCGGGCAGAGTTCCGACGTCACTTGGAGATCGGGCGAAATTTTGGCGTTCTTTGGAGGTCGGGCAGAATTCCGGCGTCGATCGGAAGTTGGGCAGAATTTCGGCGTCGGGCAGAACTCTGGCGTCACTTGAGCGTCGAGCAAAATTCCGACGTCACTCGGGCGTCGGGCAGAATTCCAGCATCACTCGAGCGTCGGGCGGAATTCCAGCGATGGCCCTGGAGGATTTTCTTCCCTCCAATCCTTCTCTTCTTCTCTTTTTCTTCTTCTCCTCTTCCTCTTGCTTGGGTCCCCTCTCATGAGAAATGAGGGGTCTATTTATAGATATTATGGAGTGGTATGACTTGTAAACAGGTGAGAGATCAGGGGTAAATAGGGAGTGGTCGGATGGACAACCGATATTGAATCCCTTGATCGTGCACCGTTCGTCAGACATTTGAAGGTCTTAATGATGTCGGAATTCGGCGATCTTGGGCTCGTTGGATTTGTCTCGTCGAGTCGCTCGATTCGACAATAAGAACATCATATTTGGAAACCGTTTGGTAACTCAAATTATGATTTGAACTTTCCAATAGCGCTTCGGGTGCTTGATTTGGACTCATTTGGGCTCGAATTGAGTCGAATTTGGTGTCGTTGAGTTCGTATTTCCGAGACGCTCAGTTTGACTGTAAGTTCACTAAAATCGGAGTTTAGGTGATCCCGAATTTAATTTTTGAAGTTTCTGACTCGATTTTGGCTACTGAAATTGAAATTGATAAATGACCTTCACATAATTAATTT